GAGTGTGCGCACTGGAGCAAGGCAACTTGATGGTGGTCATTGCTATTGCTGCTCCTCACGCAATGAGAAGTCGATTCCACTAGATCCGCTTTTGTTGGTTCTAAAATGAGCAAGAAAGTCCGTATTTCACCCACCAGACGATGTCTTCTGGTAGAATTATGCTTGCGACGTAAAAATTGCCCAAATTTGACTGGCAGGCCCTACCAGACCAGTGTTGGCTTTAGTTGAAACCCTAGAGTCAGCTAATCACCAGTTGTGGGGTCCATAAAACCAGTCGTATTTACTACCTCTCATCTTGAGGACCTACCAGATCTCTGGTCTTCTGGAAATCGGCGTGCACAAGGTGACTTAGTGTCAGCCTAATATTTCCCTGTCTCAGCACTTTTACCTTGATACTCATCTTATATCAGGCTTGTGACCCCAAAGAAGCCGGATCAATGCCTCTCCTTCCACTTTTGCGCGGACTGACTCCCGCTTGACCTAAAGTTGGCAGCTTTAGGTCTCACCGTAAATCCCTCTCCACCAGCCAACTCAGTTTCAACTGACACCTGTGGTTAGTTGGGATAGGATGTGGGCGCTGAGAAGGAAGCATGCGTGAAACGGCAAAGAACACAGGCAAACAGCCCCACGTAGACATGAGGTTGTCAAACCACGGCACTTTACCGTTCACTCAAACCACACTATGAATTCATTGTGTTTATCGAGGGGTTGTGGTGGTGATGAGGATGATGATGACGATGCAAGTTTGGAGGCAATGAGAAATTCGGTGCTGTATTACAATGGTACATTGTGCTTTCTTACACAAACACTTATGAATACTACTCCATTCCCGTGTTTATTATTAAGTCTGCTTGACTGAGGCACTGTGTTGCCTTGTCCGCAACATGAACAGGCAAGAGATTTGCAGGGGTCTTCAGTGGAACACTAATTTACTTATAAGACTACACCTTTCTTTCTTTCACAGACACCGTTCAGGACAATGTTGGGGAGAAAATTATGTTTGATCACGTCTAAATAACCATCAGTTATTAAAAACTTGGAACACGAAATTCTTGTGAAAGATGTTTTCAAGTAAATTTAGCCACCGTAAGTTGCTTGCGCATTATGGCGTTATTTTCGAGTGACATAATCGAAGGCAAGATACCACTTGTTTATTACCTCACTAATATGTCCAAATTTCAATTACTTTTCGATGTTAAAACCACGTTCCGCTGGTGATGGCTTTGATCGACACTGCGATAGGCAGGGTGAGGGGCGTGGTGAGTGTGGGTGTGTTGATGGATCCACTGGGCTTATCTTTGGGGACAGTTGCCAGCGATATTACCTAGCTGAAACCCACTGATAAGTCTAGCTCAACTGTTGCGTTGTGCACTTGTCCAAATTTTTGGAATGTCGCATTAAACTGTTGTGATATCGAATTTAACTGGCTGAGACGTGCCTTGTCCTAATCGATGTGTCTACACGACAGTGAAAGGAATTTGATTGATCGAATCCCTTTGTGGAATTTGCGGCAGCTAGTCTATGATAGACTGCCGCATTCCTTTCATTCCCCTTCAAATTTTAGTTTTTGTGTAATTTGGATAACCACGCTAAAAGTACGATACTGCGGTTGGAGGTATTGAGTATTCGAGATGAGTTATCTGTTGTATTCCCTTAGCAATTTCTCAGAGATCATGCTTCACAAAAAGTGAAATACTGGCAAAACTACAAGCTTGGAACATCACCATACTTTTAATCATCATTGATTTCCTTGACCTGCGTTACGCAGCTATGATTATTTTTAGTATCACAAGTGAATTTCTTTTCATTGCACCTTTTTTTACGTAAAGGTAGAAGAGGTGCACATCTCGGATAGAAAGCTCCCATTTTAATCTTACCGTACTTAAATGATAAAGTAAGTGTTCAGTTGAAGTAAAACCTAAACCAGGTTATTTTAAATGATGCACTTGGAGCTGATGAATTTGTAAATGATTTCGCATCATAGAAAATCTTCTTTTATCAGTGTGATGAAAAGGAAGAACTCTGTTAGAATGCTTTTGGTTTTGAAAGAGAACGCGCAATTGGCCGGAATCATTTCTTGATTAATTTTTGAATCCTAACTGCAAATATGCGGTCAATCTGGTTTGCGCATGTTCTGTTTGAGGCCTGTAGATTCGACGTTTGCACATTTTTCACGCTCAGGTTAAATGAAAAGGGGAAGGAGAAGTGCAAGCCGTATTGGCCGTTGAAGAAGAAGGACGACGAGGATGGTCTGCCGATTTCAACTACCTTTGGCAACTTCTCGGTCACGCAGCAGGCCAGTGAGCCCGGGGCATCATTCATTCGACGTGTCCTCGTAGTCCAAAACACGGTAGGACTCTCCCTTTGTACCCTGTCTACAATGCATTGCTGATTGTTTCAACTACAGGGCTCTCACTAAGACAACATAATTCCACCTCCACACCACTCAGTTCTACTTTCCCGGTTTTGACAAAAGAGGCCCCAATTAAGCTCCGTGCATTTATAAACAAGGCACTTTATAATTTCGAAGAGTAATGCTCCTTTAACGTTCTTCACTTGAAAACCGCAAGGTGGGCTTCATAAAGAATTCGTATTTGGACTTTCCAGCTAGTCCTTTTTTCAAGTTGAACACTTGTTCCCTGACAAGCGGGTTGCAGTTCTATCCATAGTCTGATGCTTGCAGAAACGTCAGAAATAATTTCATCTTGCCGAAAAACGCCTTGAGGTTGAACCACAAACTAAACATTCAAAACTGAGAATCGTTTTTGTAAAATTTGGGCGGAACCTGTAAGGTAGTTCATCGAGGTCATTGCGAATCTAAGACGTCGTCGTGGAAGGCCTGGAATGCTTCGAATTATCGGACTCCTCATGGCGAGAACGCGAAGGCCGAGTACAATAAGACAGCGTGATTCACTCTGGCATTATGGACATCAATCCCACACAAGTCGCACATCTGGTGCATTTTCTCGGCCATCGACAGTTGGCTTGGTTGTCAAGTTTTTCCTGGCATTGTAGACTGCTGATGGTGGCACCAACACACCACGACGCGTTATCCAACTTCAAATGACGCATTGGGAGGACTTCAACGCCCCACGGAAAGACGACTTCCACGCCTTCCTGCAGCAGTACTATGACGATCTTGAAAAAATGAATGCGAATTCCAGGGTCCCCGTATTGGTCCACTGCAGGTAGTCTACTACAAACTTATTCTTAATGACTTATTCTTTACTTTCGCTAACTCAGCCACAAACTGGCCGCTACCTCCAGGTGTTTAATTGAATCGTGGTAGAGAAAACCCGCGTCCTCAATCGACACATTTTCTGACGAATTGAATGACATGGGTTCACTCAGTAGTCCTGCAAACGGGTGGTGGTTAGATTTCTGTAAAAAAAAATAATCATTTTTTCTAAAAAACATCACCAAAATGGATGGAGAATGATCAGTCAACCCGTGGGCGATAAATGCATTTTTCCACCGGCCGAAAGTCACTTTGGGACTCTGTGTCTTCTGCATGTTTGCTCATTCCTCAGTCCTTCCAAGCACTTTTTTTCACGCACAGTGAAATTTCTTGTTTTACTGAGATATTCGCTATGTATGGGGAAAGATTTTAATTAGTAAATAAGTTTGGCGTGAAAAACCAATGCTATTAGAAAAGACCGATTCAGTTTGCACCTACTTGGAATGTGAAAACGAGCACACATACACTGCCACCCAGAATTTTGCGCGTTATTTAAGTACCCACTTTTCTAGGACAGCTTCGAGAAGTATCAATGTCAAAACGTGTAGTTTTAGGCAATTAACAGTCACACCTGCACCGTTGTAGCTCCTTTCATCTTCAAACGTGAAAATGTGATGAATACATGTGTCCAGCTTATGCGCCTTGTTCAATCGCCTGAATTTCCACACACTCTAAATACCACGTGAAAGATATTTTCACATTTTGAGAATTTCCCGGTGGTCTTGAAATGACACTGCGCAGCAGTGAATCGTGTTGATTTTACATTCATTAACCCTATCGCCGCATACTTCGACACTCAGCTCCTCTTGCCCGGGTCCCCATCACACCGCTAATGCGCTCCTGTGCACAAACTCCCCCTATCACCCATGTCCCTTCTCTGAGTCCACTTGACTTACAGTCTGCATCGGTCATAGGGCTGCATTAAACACACGCACGACAAACAGCAGAGATGAACGGTAATGCTTCGCTGGTGCCTGCATAGCTTAGCCGGGTCCATGAGGGCGGGACGGACCCGGTAGGCTTCGAGACTTCGTTTTGGGGTTTTTGCCCAATCCTAGTTGAATCCCAATTGAGGGAACTGTCATGAAAATCATCAATTCTTTTTTTTCTGATTTATTAAGCGCCGGTGTTGGGAGGACAGGAACCTTCATTGCAGCCGACATCCTCGCCCGATACATTCGAGGCCACTTTGAAAACGCCAAGCAGGACGGCAAGTTCGAGCCTCTCGATGCGGAGGGTGCACCAGAGGGAGAGCCTGTCTACGCGAACCTCTCCCCCCTGGGGACGGCGTTTCTGCTGAAAAATCGGGAAACCCTCAACAAGACCTCGAGCGTTGTCGATGTGTTCCGAACTGTGCTGTGGTTGCGCTCGCAAAGACGTTTGTTCGTTCAACAGGACGTAAGTTGGACAGCTAGGCTGGCAGTTTCCACTACCAACAAATGCTTCGTTGAATACACATCTTGGACGAGTTTCAAGTGAAACAGAATGAGCCGGGGTGCTTAACATCACTGCATAAAGTGCTGATGCGATCCACGTAGACTCCAATTTCTTGCTTTTCATCCCCGAAAATAAGCTTATGGTGCAAAATATGCAGCCATCTGCCCTCGATTAAATTAGCCATAACCACCGAAGTTGCATCGTCTTATTACTTATTAAGTATGGATGATTGAAAGAGAATAGTTGGTGTACGATTTTCCTTTATTGTAGACGCAATACATCTTTCTTTACGACTTCCTGAGCTATTATATTCGCCGGTTCACTGGAGAGGAGGGTAGGTTTTTGGCGTTCTAATTGCGGTTTTGTTTAAATAGACGAACCATACGACAACGTCTGACCCGCGCAATTCGACTGGGACCGCAATCGGCTTTCTCAAAATGTTGAAATCTAATTCTTTTAGCTTGATTTCCGTCAAAATTCGACTTGTGACATCCACAGTTTATTTGTAGCGATTCGTTTTGTACTAATTTTTTGCACAGCATCAAAAGATCCTCGGAGTTCGATTTTGTAATTTATTTGTCCAGCCCTTGCTTTTATTTACTTCACAGCCCGAATGACTCCAATTGTCAAAAATGATGACTCAAAACCTCCCAAGGGCCTTATTTTACCCATAATTAGGAAGGTATGGTGAAAAGCAGGCAGCTGTCAGTCTTTAGTGTTACTGGACGTTTACACTTCTGTTTCAAGTCCATGCTTTTGATCGACTGAATCAAGACGTCCAAGAACTTGTGGCCTAAGCCAATACATTCCAATGAAATCCTTCTGTAAGTATCGAAAAGGGGAAACTCGCTTTTAACCGGCTACAAGATTGTATGTGGCACGTTTGACATTGTTTACGCAATAAACAAAACAATTACATTATAAAAAGAGCCATGTCGTTGCAGAAACCTAGTTTTTAAAGACGCCATGTTTAAGCATGTAGTTAGACAAACCGAAAATCATTCCTTTCCAGCTATTTTTGGCAATTCAAATGCTGTGTGTTGGCAGTTCCACCGCACACAAGATAGTCTTTTCATTTGATATGTTAAAGAGTACATTTGTACACACGTGCTTTTAATCTCTGGCCTTTCTACGTTTCCTGTCCGGTGCAGTCAATTCTGTCTTGAATCGTGTTGATTCACGACCATCAGCCCGGTCGTCGTATTCACCGACATGCGGTACCGTCTGCATTCGCCTTTCATTTGTACTTTACGAGTTTACCCAAACTGTATTTTTCAGCGACTGCATTAGTCATACACACACAGGCACAACAACAACCAATTAGATTGAACCAACTAGGAAACGGTTGGGTCTTCGGAGGTCTAGTCTTTTCGAGCATCTGCGTAGCTTAATCGGGCCAGGACAACGCGACGTCCCCGGTATGAGTTAGGACCACATGACGGGGCCTTCAACACACTCTTGGCCTATCGAGACTGTCGCTACCATTGTTTTTGTGGAACACAACATTGATTCTCTTAGATTGTGCTTCGACCGAGCTATGGGGCTTCTCATTCGGGTCAAATTTAAAGCGAATTCCATTCAATGCTGTCACATTAATGAAGGCTCAAAAACGATCACTAGATATGGTAGTGTTGAGGGCCCCGGCATGTTGTCTTGAACCACGCCGGGGCCACTGCTACAATCTAGGCCGAATACGGTACCCTGTGCTCCAGCGAAAATAAAGAAGACCGGAGTGGTGAGGGCACAACCATTTACTGGACAGTTCAACTAAGTTGTGTCCGTGTACTTTTACAGTTGAGTGGACATGTAAAAATGAACACTGGCGTTCGTGAGGTCACATGGCCAAAGAGGGTGGTGGCGGTACATTCAGAGGGAGCAATGAACCAGCAGTCTCACGTGAAAAGTGGGACATGTGCTGGAAGCTGCGAGGACAGGGTTATTAGATGTGAATCAACACGATTCACTGCAGTAGTTTAAGGCAAACTGTTAAATTAGTTTTTTGTGAGTCGTGTTTATTCATACCCCCTTAATCCGGTCGCTCCACCTCCGACACAGGGTTCCTCTTTTCGCAGCATGTCGCCAGCCGCGCGGATCCTCAACTCCCCCTTCAATCAAACGGATATTTATTTTGGATTATCCTCAAACATAGGTCTCGATGTTAGCGCATGTATGACTCACACATCCGAGGTATAAATACACACGCGCAAACCCCACACACGACACAACGACACCAACGTGGCTGAGCTCTGAAGTAAACGGTTGTGTCCACGTCCTCTCCGGTCTTTTTCTTCATCGCGGGTATTAGACAAGCCTAATCTGGCCAGAGTTAATTCCGTGGCCCCGGCATGGTTCAAGACCACATGCTGGGGCCCACGACAAGTTCATTGTTTTAACTAGAATGAATGCACGTTTCCCAAGTCTCCTGAATTTCAGACCAGGTTCTGGTAAATTGGAAATCTATTTTGCCGATTAAGTACCACTTTGTGCGGCTGCCTCTATTCGCCACGTCAGTTTTAATCCCTACAAAACACGTCACAGTGAAGTCTAGAAGCCCAGTTTGCGTTGTCGGTGTCGACATACTAGTGTATTTCACCGATGGTGATTGACGGCGTCAAGCCAAAAGGCCACTAAGAGAGATCCATCGAGCTATACGTGGCTCGCAGTCTCAACCCCATCAACATACTTTCTCGCAAATCTCGTATTTCAGTCCAGAGTTGTGTTTTACTGTAACGTTTTATCGTGTCTAGCAAGCTGCGATAGACCTGTGTTTTGGCGTCAACCGTAAACCATTAGTGTTGGGGTTAAAGGCGCCACGCAGCTTGACGTAAACACATAAAAACCCCTCAACCCACACACCAATTTCGGAGTGCCACTGATTCACCTCGGGTGTGTTTTGAGTCTTGTTGTGTGCCTGGCATTCACGAACGCGCAATCCTGCGTTCAATCTCTCAGTTGCTGCGGTTATTTTTAGTACACACCGGGACTACCGACTGCACTGATTAATATTTTAACCGTCGTCCACCGACCAAGTGAGCAAGTCGAGTGAATGAAAAATGTTCGGTTCGCATGATCCGTAGACAAAGGCGTGCTTAGGCCGCTGCAGTTAAAGTATGCAGAACTGTAGCTTCATTAATTATTTGTCCAGTTGGTTTAGCTGATTAACATCCCTCTGCGCATAATACTTTGCCTGCGCTGGACCACATAAAGCGTGGACTTCAGACGTCGTCAACACGCTGTCAAGTGGAAATTGTGCTCTCCAATGGTCGTCGATGTTTAAACCCTATTCTGGAATTCACAGCCATTTTGTTCACGGGAGTGATGGTTTCCAGGTTTCCTGTTCAGAAGATATTTCCAATAGATCTTAGTAGTATATATTCACTAAAAGTTAAACATGTTTAGTGATCGGTGAAAAGAATTATGATCAGTCAAAATATAGACGAATCAATAAAACACTACTTTGGTGCAAAGAAAGTCAATTGTTAAAATAAACTCAGTCGGTTCATTAATATTCTTACCGGCCGAATTTTAAGTAATTAGGTATAATTTAACAAATTGGGAGCATCTAGTACTGCGAATTCAACATTTCCTGAAATATTTTTTTCCAAAGCTGAAATTGAATCACATGATATTCCTAGGGGAAATCTTACGCTCGTGTTCCACATTCAGTAAACCTTAAAATTCAACTAGGGAAACTGAGCGCATGCCACTATAACAGTTATAACATTCTGAACATTATTCAATTTTTCCCTTTCTCAAACGGACTAGGAAGCTTTTCACGTTTCCTGATTGGTTAACTAATTTGGAATTTCGATATTCCATTTTAATTGTAAATTCTAGATCGACAACTTCTGAATCAGCCGAATCAAAGAACTAGTTTTCTTTTTTAGCAAAGTAATTTGGTAAAATAAATTAGATACACTTCTCTCACCAACTCACTCAGCTCGTGCCGACTGCTACTACTTGTGTTTTTTTTATTTACATGCAAATTTAAATGATTTGGACTTTTGAAATTGTGACTTTGTGTGTGGCGCATTAAGGCCTGGAAAGTTGCGTGTTTGTGAGGCCAGAAATAACGCCTTTTGGCTGTAAACCACCGGTACATTAGTCTGGCCACGCCAGGCAGCACTTAACCCCAGCAAAAACCCGAAGTGCACGCTTTTAACCAATAAAATGACACAAACCAAGTATCAATTAAAGAAGTTGATTGGAGAGTAATTTCGAGTTTGTGATGCGAAATATAGCTTTTAAAAAAATAGCCCGAAAAATTTGTGTGTTTTGTGCAGTGACCGTTTGCAATCCGTCTAGCATCAGAATAACAGCAAGTTTGTACCATTCAAACATATAAACAATTTGTATTTATATAAAAGGTGCTTAACATCAATGTTCATCGATTCTCAACTGATTTTTCAAAGATGTTAGAGGCCTTCCACTGCCCTGGTTGAGCTCGGCTCAATTGGGATTTGTCAATTCTAGGCACTTTTTCTGGATTGTACTTCGTTCCTCTTTCAGTAATTGTCGACAACAAACACGTGATTTGATTGTTTCTTTTCCTGTTAGCAAGGTATAAGCAGGTCGAAATTCCGGCAGTTTTGGTGCAGTTTGATATGGCGTATCGCACTTGCGCACTGATCGTTGTTGATGGATGCAATTATTGACGACCCAAAAAAACAATTACAGGTGGTGACCGGCTAAACAAAATTTGATTTACTCGTGGACTTCGGTAAGTCGATCGAGGTGTTGGTTAAACTTGAGTGACAAGTATTTCTCTGCAATCTGTAATTTGCACTTAATTCGTTTCTAAAGTGAACCGAAACTGCTGCGACTGTTTTTCGAAGTAGAAATCTACAATGTTTCTAGCATACATTGCAGAGGGTAATGAAACTACACTGACAGCTACTGATAAATGTATGCTAGTAGTACTTAATTGGTCTTTTATGCTCAAAATCAACACTGACTGAAGCCCTTTGATAAAGACTGCAAACCAATTGCAGTGAAAACAAGGGGTTGTCTGCTTGCTTCGGTTACAGCGGTTCTATGACAAGATATCAGGGGCGTGAGAAAAGTTTTAGATGACAAAGTGATAAGAAATTTGGATTCACGTCGCGTCCCAATGCCAGTCAAAACTCAAGGTCACGCTCATCCAATTAGATATCACCAGCTTATCTTCAAGCTCATAAATGGACAATTTGATCAACCCGGCAGGTTGGAATCGCAAGTGGGGACTCGTTTAAACTAGCCTACCTAAAAATGTCAACTCGTGATCTACATTCCAAGCACAATGGACACCATTCCTGTGGTCTCATCTTCAACTCAAACACGAATCCACCGATTTTTTCGCGAATCGACCCCATTTACCAGAAGCACTTGAATGGCTCATACATGCTGGCATCTATTAGACGCCTTGCAAGCGCTGAAAGCAAGACACCCAGGTCACAGCTCGGCTTAAAAGTAGGAGTGCGTACATCTGCACAAATAAGTGGAACAACAACAACACCGAAAAAAAGAAAACAGGGTTTTTTCAGGGGGTTCGGGGGGGATGGGGACAAGGCGGGAGAGACAGAACAATGCCCGCACGAAGAGAAAGCAAGGGTCGACTTTATAACACACAAGTGAATCTGCGGACAGGGGGAGGCTGGAGTGGGTACTTTTTTTACAAACATTGAAATGAGCGTTGTGCCGATTTCACTAAGCCGGAATAATAACTAGGCCTCGTGTACGTACTTTGTCCGACCAAGAGACATACATAAAGTACCAGTGCGTATCAAAACAAAGGATGAGTTTGGGCGATGTTGGTCGACGTGTGCTCGGGGTTAACTAACTGAGTTGGATTCGTCAGCCAGTAGCATCGAGTACAACTGCTGGTCTGCCATGCAGCCGTCCATGAATTCCTTTCGAGTCAGCACACCGTCGTGATTCGAGTCCATCTTGTCGAATATTTCTTCGGTTCGCGCCTCGGGAGTTAGGTCAACGGTAGCTTCGTTTGCACCAAGCATGCTGTAAATGGCCTAGAGGATTGAACTACACATTACGCGGTGCTACTAGATGATTGAAAGTAGTAAGTTTACCAAATCACAATCAAGTGGGCGAATTGAGGTGGCAATCTGTGTACCTTTATAATTTCGGTCATTTCTTTTTTCTCAATGGTGCCGTTTCCGTCGATGTCGTACATCTGGAAGGCCCACTCAAGCTTCTCCTTAGGCTGACCCCCGGAGGTAATATTAATTGCCAGGAGGAATTCATTGAAGTCAATTTTCCCGGAATTGTCCTTGTCGAAGGTGCGGAAGACGTGCGTGCAGAACTGATCAGCGTCACCAGTGGGAAAGAAGCTGGAGTAGACTTCAATAAACTTCTTCTTGCTGAGCTGACCAGAAGGACAGTCCCGCTAAAGAGCGAAACGCTTCTTTGGGTGTTTGTACGCCACCTTGACAGGCTATCGGTTTCACAATATTAACGTCTACTTAGCTTCTATGAACCAATAGTGCTCGAGCTAAAAATCGTTAGAGCAGACTTCGGGTGACCACGTTTTCCAATAAAATGCTTGCGCAAAGTTCGTCAATATATACAAATGGCCACATGTCCTTGAACACGGCAGCAATTTCTGCGTCGCCAGAAATCGATAATTGTTAACATCAAGTAACTCTGCAATAGGATTCGCAGGTGAATACAATGGGGAAAACCACTTAACGGTTTCCATTTGAATAAATTGGCCGTCTTTGTTCTGGATTTGCAGACTTAATCTACTCAGATTGTACAAACACAAACCCTCGTTTAACGCAGATTGCGGAAATGACCGGAAGTCAATGGTCACCTGCAAATTAAAGAGTCGTGTTTAATATTTAAAAATCATCATTTTAAACTGTCTGAATTGCCAACCAATAAATATGCTTTTATAAAAAAGTGCGATAAGCATATTCTGAATTTTTGAAAGTAGAATCATTCACACTGCGTTCTATAATTAAATAATTATAATTGGTCACACCATGGCGAGCGGTTTAATTAGAAATTTACACGAAACCAAGGATTTTGCAGTATACTACTGAGTCATCCGCAAGCTTACTAGGAAAAAATACGGAAGGCATATTTCCTTTCCATCAATTCTTTTCGATCTTTACGGTCGTGAGTGCGCACAAGGCCAGGTCAACGCAAACAATTTATTGCAAAAGCGATTTTATCAATCCATTTTTTTATCTAATTCACATGATCACCTTACTTTCATTTTTTGGTCTTTGGGTCGTTAATTCTCACTCGTTACTGACCATTAGGATTTTTCTATTTTCCAAACACCACAAATTTCATGGATCTACCTTCGTGACGATTACCAATCCCCTACAAGAAGTTGTGCATCGCAACATGAAAAAAGGTTTTGCGCAGAAAACTTTTGGTGCAGTGACATAGTGGATTTTGCAGAGGTTTGTTTTTTTGCAGAACCTTCTGGGTACCATAAATCTCTGGCACCTCGATATTCCCTTCCCGTGGGAGAATCACTGCCTACTAAACCACAAGAAAACCCATGATTTAATGCCTAAAAATTAAAAAGAAAAGGCCAAAAAATGCGACTTGCTAAATTTAAATTAGGCAATTTTAAACACGGCAATGTCCACTTCAACACATGCTATTTTCGATGTGTTTCACCCAAACAGATACGTGGTTATTAGCGAATAATTAATTAAATTACAATGAAACACTTTGAATGAACAGTTTGAAGTGATTAAATTCAGGTTAGATTTTGAAGCGGCATTTATTTTAATCTAGCTGGCAGAGACCATAGACGAATATTGCGTCAGCCAGATTATGCGATAATGTCATGCGCACCAGTGCTTTTTTAAATATGAAGTGGAATTCGTATGCATGCAACGATTAAGTGAGTTGACTTTGGCGAAAACGTGATGAAGGCTTTAGTATTGGTCAGAGCTTATTCCGTCTAAAAGAACAAACTTTAGTTGAAGAATTTGCGCGGTTAAAAATTCTTTTGGTCTCAGAGACCGACGAATACCAATAAAAGCCTAAAACTGCGCTGTGCAGGACAATTTTAAACCAATGGCAGGTCGACTTTAGTAGAAAAACAGTCAGTTCGGTGGGTTCAAACGAAGGTTCTTTTACCTTCACCAACCGTTTGTTCCGCTTAGAATGCGCGATTTGCATAATTCAATGAGAACTGACGTTCCCAAGAGCATTTCTGAGGTAGTTTGGCAGATGATAAACAACGATTTCCAGTTGCTGGATGGATTGTTTTGTTTTCATACCATTGTTTACCCCACCAACGGGGAAAGTTGCTTTGTTTACCTGGCAATATGCTTCCCCACAGGATTTTCAGGTAACTGTCGAATTTGCAATTTGCAAATTGGCAAAGATTTGGCATTTTAGAATTCAGTCACTTCTAAAAGCACCTGCATTCTGATGCCAGTTACGATTTCCCACTCACCATGATCATGCATATCGTTATTGGGAATTTATCTGATATCCGCTTCTACTTACCTTAGCTGTGAGTGGCTGAAATGCTTTGAGCCGTCACTATGATATGTTAGACTCTAAAAATTCTCTTGGTAGTACTTTGCTTTGTTGACGATTTCGTCAATCGGTGGATGATTTTTTGGCTGTGATAGTTTGCGCTCTCACGCATTCGTAGTAGATTGCAGTTACGCCTGCTCACGACACACGAGGGCTGCTAATAACCCGTTCCTCTAGAAGCGGTTTGATGACTGACTTTATTTTCTGCTTCTCAAAATTTATCACATTCCGCACCCTGGACACCAAGCGGGCTTTGTCTGTTGTACAGAACAGGCGGATTTAAATGCAAAATCGTCAGCATTTTAATTAAGCATTCTATAAAGATTGCTTCGAATTAAAAGTGTGTAAATAGTAAATTTGACAAGCATTAAATTAATTTGTGTGGGTCGGACTCAAAGTAGCTTGGAAAAACTCTGCCCAGGCATTAGAGAAAGTGAGGTCAATCGATTCTCGAAGTCGATTGGCTGATTTCTGTTTACTCCTCATTTAGGGACCTTCGTTAATTTACAGCCATACACAGTCGCCGTATTTCGTAGGCTTTTTGAATTTTAGCTCGATTCCATGAATCAACCGGTTAATCAAAGATTAAGGGCACTTGTATTTAAGCTGTTTTTTCCACCAACGTTTTGCCGACATTACTCAATTATGTTGGCACGAAGTGTCTTTGCGTGCTGTTCCGGTTCTCCCTAACACGTTGCACGTGTGACGACCTAATAACTATTGCCTGGTGGCAATAATTTTAGGTCGCTTTATCTCTAAACTTACTTAAGGTTAGCGGCTAAACTGCTTTAGGCTGAAATAGGGGCTTATTTTGCGGTAAAGTGTAAAAGGAAGACCTCGTTTGAGTAATTGTGCACGTGAGAACAACCAGGTAGATGGAAACAGTCGTTTTATGCAACTAAAAGCCAAAAGAGCCATGATGTGCATAGAAGCTTATTTCTGGTGCTTCGTGGGACAATGTATTGCCCCACGTGTAACTGGTCTCTGGGATTTCCTCACAATTTTGATATTTGCTAGTTCTCTGAAAAAGTCTATATCATTTTTTGGAATACCACCTGTTGTAATGACGGTCGTGGTCTAAATTTTTTGCGTAGGAAGTGCCCACGCTTGTCATTTAGTAACACAGGCTCCCAATACGTCAAATTTAATTTAATTTGTGTGACAGCTACGCTAATTCTCATGCAAGCCATATTTATATCCAGAGTAGACTAGATGTAATTGGTCGTAGTTTTTGCAGCAGTGTTGGTAGTAGTAAAACTACAAGTAATTGGAGTGTAACTTAAATTACATTGGACGGTTAGGCATCGTTACCATTGTTTGACGTTTATTTGTGTGACCAATTATTAAAATATTTTGGTAAAAAACTTTGGGTTCCGTCATAGCTTGGCCTCCCCGCATAATGAAATACCTCAAAATGCTCTAGTTGTGTAGACAAAATATAAAAAATTGATTAAATGCTTTGGGACAGATGTGAGCAGCAACAATTGCACAACCATCTCATTAGATTTAGCTAACCAAAATCCTGGACAAAAGTCTAAATTTGCCTAGTTATCTGCTTCCAAATGTCGTTCCAAAATGCCGTAATTACACTTGTTCGCTGTAATCACATGTGCGTAAGCGGCTCTGGTAAACATAACCGTTGACGTATAGTTTACCTTTTATTAAACTTACTGGATTAACTGAGTCATGGGATATGCGACACCGATTGTGCCAGGTGTCTCCTCTTAATGCAACGATCTTACTCGTGGCATTTGCTGAGTGATTCAACGACGTTTCCTTGATAAGCAATCAAAGGTTTGTTCTGACTGCCAAACGTTGCCCCGTTCTCGGGGCAACGAATGTACACCCTAGGTTTCGCTTTGCCTCCCTGCTCACCAATATCATCTTCTACTTTAATTCCAATTGAAAAATATGACACTAAAGAGGTGCAACAATATATAAACTAGATTTTTTTTTAAAAAAAGTTATCAAAAAAACTAAAATAATTGTAATCCGGCTAGCAGTCGCATTTTTAAAGCTATGAGAACATGCTGAAGTTCCCACCAACACTGCTCGTTTCTCGAGGCAAACCCCGAATGCCGCAGTTTTGCGGAGCATAGTTAGCTCACAAATTCCTGTATCCAAGTGTTTTTATCTGTGATTCGGACAACACTCGGACTGGTGGTTGGGTTGCTAGCTTTGCTGCCTAGCACGTTAATGTCCTTCAACTAAAACTTGTTCTCTTTTTGGTCAAAATTAATTACTTAAAACAACTCGAACTACAAACAACCGACTGGCTCTTGCGCTCAGGTATCAAAGCAATAATGTGGTACTTACGATGAACCCCTGGTACCACTCCTTGATCTGCTTCTTGGTGAAGTTAGTGTTGTTCATGAGGAAGTTGAGATCTTCTTTCGGTAAAGTCCTATGAGAAACAAGAGCGTTGCCCATGGCGGTTGTTCTGAGGTTGCCTTTTCACAGGATTGTCGTCGAAAGTCCAAATTCTCCTTTGAAAGTGACCAAACGTATATGCTGCAACAGGTCAGCCTATTTAGGCGGAAAAGAGCGATTTCCTTTCAAATTATGGACACATGGTGCAAATTAGTAGCCACACATAGCGGAAAATGTGGAAATATAATGCTGGATTGTGTGTTTATAATGGACACAATGACGTTTTCATTGTCTAAGGCCTATTAATTAGTCCAAATGGCCGACTACAGACTCATCTGAGATCAAATTGTGAAAATTTCAGCAAAAATGGAAATGCTATTATGCAAGAGGCCCAAATGAAGCTAAATTTGAATTAAAGGTGTTTATTTATGCTTCTAACTTTGAGGAATGCAAACCAACTTTTCAGTTGGGTAAAGCAAAATTCAAAACCCTTTTTCTTCAAAAAAAATGCCTGAATTAGCAGTAAATTATATTACTAACATCTATCTTCAAGTTGTAGAGAGAATACAGATCGCCACTTCAACGAGCATGACTGCATTGATCAGAAAAACGCACGCAAATAATAACGAAAATTCCAAAAAAGAGATAGAACAAAATCTTGCCAAATTCATGTCCTCGTGTTTAAATCAATTCCTGCAATAACCGCGCGTTTCGTAACTTAGACATCGAGGAATCCCCTAATCTGCATGCAAAATTAGACGTAGTGTAGGGTGTGGTCGAGAGCGTTTGCATGAAAAGGACAAGACAAGGCACCAAACACATTAATCAAAGTCAAGGGGGAGAGCGAATTTTAAAATTTTTCCTCAAGTCATTGGTGTACTACATTGGGTGGAAACCATTTCCTTCCTCTTTAATTTTGGTCTACGCAAATTCTTGCTAATTGCCTGAATTGGTTTAGATTCAGTAGTGGTAGAAAATACACCACTGATTTGACAAAATCCAAGCAATTCCCGTGAGGTTATCCTTAATTCAATGCAGAACGATAGGCTTATCTCAATCTCGCATTGGAAAACGTTGTAACGCTCTTCATGCTAACTGGAATTTTCTCCAAGGGACACAAACTTGATATCATTGCAAGCAACTAGCAAGATAGTAACTTAGATTGTGTGGTGTTTAGCGTAAATCAATTCATTTTAACGTCGAAGTCGATTTTGATTTCTTGGAAACAGATCAAAACAATAAATAACACCTCTTGATGCAATCCACACTTTGGCACATGTTTTCCCAGACCATCACACTTGCTTCTCAGTCTTTTTAGATGAATTCATTTTAAATATTCCAAATATTTTAAAAAAACGTTGCCACATCTGATTGGTTACACGAATGAAACTGCTTTGAATGACCTTGACATAATGGTCAAAAGTATTCATTACATGTCTTTTGTGAATTTTATTCACAGAGTGAGCGATCCAATTACCGAGTTTGTTAGACCATCCAAAATACGCCAAGTAAATTCAGTACTCGTATTTGATCCATTTAAAAGACTGTGATCTCTCCTACTGCCATGCGATCATGATCCAATCCAATCACGACCTTAACTTGATCACAATTAGGTTAACGAGCACTTTGGGCAACCTTGTGGCAAGTAATTTTCGAACTTATCCTGTTACGCATGCTCTATGAGGCAATAAAACACCACCAACTTCACGTGTCTTGTTGTAAACCCTAGCGACTTTCTATCAAAAACGTTTGTTTTGCACCCTGTATTAAACTTAACATGTCTTTTCAACCCATTAATAATAAGCTCGAATGAAAAAAATGGTTGTGTAAGCTTCAAAAAAGCGCCTAGGCGATCGTGTAGACCAGAGTCATTTCAGATAGATCGGTTTGTGTGATTGCTTCTTGCACAGGCGGCTTGTCCTTAAAAGACGAATCGAGGTCAGGTTGTATGCTAAACTGACAGTCATCAGTAGTTGGGATCGCTCCCAATAACTTACGCCACGAGGAAGCGAAGTTGAACCATGTAGAAATTGGGCAAATCTGTTTGAATCATACAACCGCTCATACAGGCAAACTGAGGAGCCACACTAACATTAACCCGGGAATTGGTTACTAACACCCTGTTTTCCACTTGCAGTTTATAACAAAAAACGCTTTTGTCTGTCTGAAGTGCCCGTCTTACCGGTTCGCTTGGCTGGCTTCAAAAAACACCTTATTGATTGGTCAGTTGGCTTAACAGCTCTTTTGGGTGCAACTTGTTGCATTTCTTGGCTAAATACCTCCGTCGCATTATCAATGGAACACAAATTTAAATGCAAAACTGTGTCACATAAATATGCAATCATAAATTTCCAGCAAAAGTCGTCCAACGAGGTCATTTTATATGGTAGTTTGAACCCAGAGGCCACAGAATTTGTCCTACCCAAAATTAAAGCCCCAGTCTAATAGTTGACTCGACTAAAGATATGCTATCCGAGACAGGAGCTTGCAGGTTGTGGGGGCGATGAAAGGGGCAATGAGGTCGCCTCCTCGCTTATCTACAGGCTTCTTTTAAACTGAATTAGGGTCACCGTGAGGTCATACATTAGGCCTGATTAGTTTCTTTTAATTAAAACTAGTCGGCAACCACCCTTGACATGTTAGGCCACTAGAAATTTTTTAAAACCATTCGCTCAATCGGGTAATTGTTTCGTCTTAGAATTGCTTTAATTAGCTGAAGTTGAAAACAATCCCCTGGTAAGTCAACACAGTGAATCCATTTTGTGCAATTTATTTTCCCACAAAAAAGGCGCATTTTTCTACCCGGGAAATTTTTCTAATATTTAATTTTACAGAGATTTAATTCGAAGACGCTAATTTCTGTGGAAAAATAACTACTTCGCAGTCATTAAAATTTTAATATTTTTTTCGGATGCATTAACTAACTCTGTATAGTCTAAGGATGCGAATTTTACGAAGGCACTGCTCCTTGGACAAAGTGATTTTTTATGCCCAGCCAAAATTAAACGCAAAAACCCCGACATCCGCTTTTTGAAGGTACTCGCGCAGAACAAGATTTATTTTCTCGCATGAGACTTGCTCCCAATTCGTTTCGCTGATTCACAGTAAAGTTTGAATTAAAGGCTCACCAATGGGAGCATCAATACTGCGGTGGTTTGGGTATTTCAATATGCCCGCGCCCTTGTTTTTAATCAGCAACGTCTAGACCTGCTGCGGTTGGTTGAAATTTCAAGCATCCGAATATTAGAAAGTGCTTCGAGAGAAGTGTGCGGATACATGTTTTATTAGCACAACAGTGGGCAAGCGTGCCAGCCAATCAAGAGGCGCCATTGTCCAATGACTGCCCAGTTTGTGCAAATCGATGGTATGCGATGGCGTGGTAGCAACAGTGTCATGCGCAATTCCGTGTACACAGCATATCGCTTTCAAATAACAAAAAACTCGAGACGGAATTTTAGGCCATCAAATTGGTCATTTTTGATTAGTTGCAGACGGTGTTTGCTTGTAGCTAAGGCAAATTGACGACCTAACCTCATCTGTTAATACCCATGACACTGGTTACTTGCGTGGTAGATTTGTTTTCAGAAAAACCCAGCACAAGTGGTTTCTGCTGTGGATCTCGGATCCAACCAGATCAATGGTTTTTTAGTCAAAGATTCAGTCAAATTTTAAGCCGTCTCTGCTTCTACTTACAAGTGTTTTCCCAACCTCTAATTGGATAGTGTTAAACAATTCTTTCCCAGAACCATTTGAGTGTCCGAGACCTTTGTAAAAAACAAATTTATGAGAGTGGTATAAAGCGCTATTTGAAGAATGAGATAGAGCGTATTTTAAGTTAAGTATACTATAGTTTATTGCTGAATTGAAGTTCCATTGCATCAAATTTGTTGATTTTTAAGTTGATTCTAGTGAATAACCTGTCCAAGTTATGCATACCTTTCGTTGGTTTAATGCAAAATTAAAATATTTGTGCTGACGACTAATCAAAATGAACCCTATTAAAAACTTTGAAATAGCCAAGCTTTCGAAATTGGGAACTTATGTGGAAGCCATTTTTAAATGCCTTACCACTACTCCGCATGCGTTCCAGTTTGAATTTAAAAGCACAACCTCAGCTTGCTAGCAAGTAAGGTCAAAACACGTTTGACCTTGATCTGTTAAAACAGTAACAGCTAGTGCGTTGGCGCAAATTAGGGCTAATCTCCTAAGAAGTCATGTTTTCGCTATTTCCAGTCTCATGTGTTAGTGCTCTTTTAATTTGTTGTGGTTATTTAAATATGTAGGGTTGCTGGAATTTTGAGGGGTAAATGCGCAGTATCCTATCATTTAAAGATACCTTTTGAGTTGCGTGCCCGGTACAAAGAGGACTTCAGAAAAAAAGGTTTTATTTGTGCCGCTAAAGAAGCGCTAGCTTTTTCTGCACTCCCAACTAACGAGAAGACTTGGACAGTTGTTCTGCGCGGCACATTGTTCGTCCTTGTGGATTTGCTCTAATGACTCTACGGAGGAGAACCTGGCTTTTGTACTAAAATGCTAGGCCGAAAACACGAAACCCCGATGGCATTACTTAGTAACGATTTTATTCTACCTGCCCACGAATTAATTCATATTTGAGAGCTTGCAGATAAATTTGGTGTTCTTGCGCTGAGCCTAAAAATCACTGTTTTCCTTCCTCAAACAACGATATGTGATCAGGTATGGTTTTTACTTTCATTTTTTATCTCTAACTATCTTACTCTTGACTCTAGCGTTCCGTGTATTCAGCAAAAATTAAGCCAAGCCCGATTTCATGCATTAGCAAAAGTAGTGACTGAAGCAAATCTTATACTTTAGCACTGGTGACCGAGTTCATGTTTGTTTTTGCAGTTTCGTCATGCCAAACTATTGTTTTATGATTCTTTACCTATGGAAGTGTTTTATTTGACTGCTTTCTTATCCATTTTCGTATATTATTAAGAGCAAACATCTGATTTGATGGGTCGGTTTCTTGGAAACAGATCAACTTAATGCATTACACCACTGTAATCTAATTAACTTTCACGACTTGGTCACTCCTAATG